AGCCTGACCCCCTGCTATCATGGTGGGACCTCTCTGTCTTGCCTTTTGTACCCTTTACGAGAAGGCTCCAAAAAGGTGCAAGGGCCGTAAGTTTTGTCTGTCCTTGCAAAGGAACATTTTTAAATTTCAGATATGAAGTTTGGAGGCCACTTGTCCCTCTCGTCTCTCTTAGTAAAAAAAGGAAACAGGATGATGGTTATCAGGCACAAAGAAAGAAGGTAGATTTGATGATGAGCAGGACATGATGAGCCCTCCAAAGGTCATGCCAGCCTGAGGGGCAGGTGACAAAAAGCCATCCTCACTGGGTCACCAGGACCGGCTAGGTATCCCTGCAGCCAAAGGCAGGAAAGAAAGAGAGAGGCTATGGTCTTACCTACTTTAACTTCATACTTAAAGAGGGTGGAAGGAACTAAGCGAATTTTAATTTAATCATCACACTGACAGCTGGCTGAATAAAACGGAAGGTATTTATGTAGCTTAAAATCCTTTTATAGCTCCCATCCATCCTTTTTTTTTTTTCCCTTCCTGAGACAGTCTCAATATATAGCTTAGGCAGGGCTGGAACTCATGATCCTGCCTCTTCCCAGGCACTTCGATTGCAGGTGTGTATTACTATGCCTAGTGATTCTTACATTCATTCATTCTCTCTGTGTGTGTGGACGTATTCACACATGCTTAAGTGCATGTGGAGGCCAGAGGTCAACACTGGGTGTCCTGCTTAATCCCTCAGTACCTTAAGATTAAGAACCAGGACTCAGAGATTCAGTTATCCTGGCTGGTCAGTGAGCCCCAAGGATCCCTGTCTCTGCTCTCCAGGGCAGGATTACTGGGATATATTGACACACCTAGCTTTTTGTGTGGTTTCTGGAGGACTTGATTCAGTCCTCTTCCTTGTGTGGCTATTATGGACAGCAGCCATCTATCTCTCCAACCCCTCCCCCACCCTCCGTCACCTCTTCAACACCCATTTACTGAATGTCTGCATGGGCCATGCAACTATGCTTACAATATGTAGCCCTTTTCTTATTCTACCTACTTGTACTACATTGTGTTGTATCACATATCATTGTATTTGGGGTCAGGAGGTGTTTGGGTTTGAATGTAAAATGTCCCTCATAGGCTCCTGTCTTTGAACATCTGGTCCCAGCTCTTAGTTCTGTTTTGCAAGGTTGTGGAACCTTCAGGAGTTGGTGTCTCCTCAGAGGAAGTGGGTCATTGAGGACAGGCCTTAGTTTATAGTCTGGCTTGTCTGTTCTGTCAGGCTGTGAGGCAAAAAGTCCCAGCTGCACATGCCTGCCACATGGAGTCACCTGCTGCCATGCCTTCATCATGAATTGTACTCCTGCTTAAACTGTGAGCCAAATTAAACCCTTCTTAAGTTGCTTCTTGTCAGGCATTTGGTCATAGTAAGGAGAAAAGTAACTAATACAGAAGGATGTCAGCATTCACCATTCATTCATTCATTCATTCATTCATTCATTCATTCATTCATCCAGCAACTGCCCCTTCAATGCCTGTATTATGCCAGGCTATAACTAGGCAGGACTTTCTTAGGACTATACTCACTATGTGTTTCATCCTAATTGCTTTCGGTTGCTATGATAAAAACCATGACCCACAGCAACTTGGGGAGGAGAGGATTTATTTGGTTTATATGCCCGGATCACAGTGCATCATCAAGGGATACCAAGGTAGGAAGGAACTCAAGCAATGCAGGAACCCGGAGGCAGGAGCTGAAGCGGAGCCCATGGAGGAGTGCTGCTTCCCGGCTTCCTCTCCATGGCTTGCTCAGCCTGCTTTCTTATACCACCCAGATCCACCTGCCCAGGGACAGCACTGGCCAGTGGACCGGGCCCTTCTACATCAATTATTAATGAAGAAAATGTGCTGCAGACTTGCCTACAGGCCATTGTGATGGAGGTATTTTCTCCACTGAGGCCTCATCAGACGACTCTCGCTTGTGTCAAGTTGACAAAACACTAGCCAGGACATGTGTGTCCCGTCAGGTGCTATGCTGTTATCTTCACTGCTGTTTAGGAGGGAGGATGGCAGAATCATTTCACATCAGCTTTGGGTGCGGGGTGTGTGTGTGTGTGTGTGTGTCTGTCTGTCTGAGAGCAGAGAACTTACCACAGGTGAAATCTGACCCATCACATAAGCAGAAGGGAGATGCAGTCTTAGACCTTGAAAGTGAGCTGACAGAGGACAGAGCAGTGAAGCGACATCTGTGATGTGATTCAGCTAAGGTGGGGCACAGGTAGAATGGTGGGTCATGCCCCACACCCCACAAACATGGCTCCCAAAGCCTCATGCGCACAGCTCTGTGACAGACACATCTGGCCCTGGGATGTGCCTGGGGCACAGGACATTTGGGTGCTTTGCCCTCTCTGCCACTCTTACTGCTGAAGGAGGAGGCATGGCTCTTCCCTGTGATCTGCATGTAAACTAACTCAGATAAAGGTCATTCTGGCCTCTCTCCCTCCCTCCCTCCCTCCCTCCCTTCCTTTTCTTTATGTACTTTTGTTTGTTTGGTTTTGGAGATGGTATCTTGCTATACAGCCTAGGCTACCTTCCTTCCTTTCTTCCTTCCTCTCTCTCTCTCTCTCTCTCTCTCTCTCTCTCTCTCTCTCTCACACACACACACACACACACACACACACACACACAAGCTTGTCAGGAGTAGGAAAGGTCTCTTTTCTTTGCATAATGAAAGCCGGGCTTAGAGCCTGGTACATGAGAACCACTCACTGAATCATGGCTGAATGCAAATCTCTAAATGAGAGCTAGAGAGCCTTATACAGGCTGGCCATGGCCAGGCTCTCCACTGATGTCAGGTGACAGGAGGTAGGGCGATGCTGGGAGAACTGTAGACACAAAGCCTGGGCATAGGGGTTTGGGATATGGCAGAGGGGACCCCAGGTCTATCACAAACCTGAGTGAATTGAGTTGTTTATCTCCCTGTGACAGAAGACCCCATCACTTCATCCTTCTGCTTTGGGATATTGCCATCCACCTGGAAGGTTCTTGTGGGACCTCGGAGGACGTGACCCTCTCTGGGTCCTGGGCAGTGTGTGGGGACAGGACTTCACTGCATTGGGTCAGAATGGTGGAAAGACAACAGCGACAGGCAATTGCCCTTTCTAAGTTTCTCTCCGTATTGCTCTGCTCTCTGAGAGCGTATTCTGACACACAGAGGAGGCTCATACAGTCAGAGCACGCTGTTTTCTCATTCAGCCTCGATGCTGAGCCTATTTGCCAAGAATTCCCCAGAGGAGAGCACACCGGGAGGACTGGTCTCAGGCTTTCTTTTTTTTTTTTCTTTCCATTTCTTTCATTTTCTTTTTTCCCTTTTGAGACAGCGTCTCATGTAACCCAGGTTGGCCTTGAACATGCTTGGTCATCAAAGATGGGCTTGAACTCTTAAACCTCCTGTCTGCACCTCCTGAGTGCTGGGCTTCCAGGAGTGCACCACCCACCACACGCAGCTTGGCCCACCATTCCCACTAGCGAGGGATAGCCATTTTCCCTGTGCTTGCATTAGATGGCTTGGAAATTCAGGAGTTGAAATAAGAGAAGCCTGAGGAGGAGCTTGACACCATCCCACCCTTTTCCTGGTTCAAGTACGAGTTCATTGATCAGTGAGTGACCTTCAAAGATTGCACTTCTCCTTCCAAATTCCATCACCTCCTTCCAAAATCTGGCACCACAAATCACGATATATTCTTATTTCCCTGTCACTCAACATCCAGGTAGAGAAAGCACAATTTTATACGTAAGTATAGAGCGTCTCATTTTCCAAACCCCAGGCCTGTGTGTTTTTGCTGACGACACATTATTTATAATCATTCTCTTAGCAGTATCCCTGGAGAGGGGTGCCTTTGTGAGGGGACAGGGGTAATAAATGGTGATATGTTATAGCTAACGTGGCGATATTTATCCCAGAGCCATGCGAGTGGTCCCAGAGCTTGCCTTTCACACAGATGAAAGAGCCCAGATGGCTGACTTCAGAGATGCCTATACCGTTCATTATATAACTGAAGATAGCTGAATGAAAATGTAAATAGTAACTTCTAACATTGGAGTTAAGGATGATTGAGTTAATTCATGCTACAGTGCAGCTAACCGATACCAGACCCTAACCCAAGCAAAGCAGGGAGCAAAAGGAGTCAGGAGAACAGTCCTGTCGGGGAGAAGGGAGAAGGCCACAGAAGAGGGGGAGAATAAATCCCAGGAATAAATCCACCTTTACCTTTCCTCGCCCAAGGTCAACCAGAAGCCAGTAGAACAAGATCTCAGTTCAGGGGACCGTCACAGACACCTCTGTGACTCAGGACCATTTTCAAAACTGGAGTACTTGCAAAGGTCACACAAAACTGCCAAAGCTACACCCAGAATCTAGAGTAGTTCTCAGCCTGTGGGTCGTGACCCCTTGGGTAACCCACTATCTCCAAAAATATGTACATTACAGCAGAAAATTACAGTTATGAAGTAGTAACGAAAGTAATTTTATGGTTGGGTGTGTGACCCAGCATAAGGAATTGTATTAAAGGATTGCAGCCTTAGGAAGGTTGAGAATCACTGATCTAGAAGGATTTTTATGAAACTACAAATAAGTGTTTTTTTTAAAAACTTCACTCATGGGAGTGGGTTAGGGAGCTATAAAACATATTTTACTATAGAACATGAACATGTATACACCTCAACATAGACCACGCAAAGAAAAAACAACAACAAAAACCAACTTCAATTCTAAAAACCCATTTTCAATTCTACCACCTTGAACAGCATCAAGAGTCCTTCCCATCCCGCAGCTTTAAGGAGAGATTTCAAGAATGGCATCCATGGCAGTCTACCCTGGGCAGAAGGCAAATAAATACTGGCTCCATCGGCTCAATTCGGGTTGCTGTGTTCATTCTGAGCCCTGCGTGGTTTATGTGAGGGAGGGGGCTTGGGAGACGCGCCCCTCCCCCATCATCTAATAGTCTTAGGATGTCGCTTACCTGAAGTGTCGACTTTCCACACAGAACTGAGTTTGGAGTCAGTTGCACACTGGTAAACAGAGATCTGAACAGCTGTGTGTATGCACATGGTGTTGCTGTGGTGCACACGTGAGCACGTGTTTGAACCTGCATACAGACTGGGAACGGCGGCGTGGGCTGTGTGAAGCCCCGACTCCTGTCTCCATCTCTGGCTTGAAAATGAAGCTTTTCTTCATCAACTAAGTCAGGCGGTGGGAGCAAGATCCAGAAGATCTGGGGGAGTTTTTCCCATAATGCCTGCTGCACCCGGAAGAAACAAACCTGACTGTGCGGAAGGCAGGGAATACCATCTCCAGGTGAAGCCGACACGGATAATAAATACCATTTGCTGGCACGGGTTCCTGGGGCAGAGCCGGCCACAGGAGTCGAGGTACCCAGGACGCGAGGACCCCTTACAAAGCAGGCATTTATGAACTGGTTTGCCCTCCACTAATTAATTCCCCAGCCATTCACCAACAGTAACAATCCCTTCAATTAGAGGCCGGGCCCTGGAAAGCCCTGGTGTTTATTGGAACTGACATCTGCATGGCCAAGTGTGACTGTGCTAATACGGAAATGCACAAAGGGACCCGAAGCCCTCCCCCTCCCCCTCCCCCCCACACACTTTTAAGCGAGGATTTGGCTCTTTAAGGAGTTTTTAATTTGTGGGTTTGCACTCGGGTGGTTCGCCAGTCAGCACTTCACATCTGCTTCTCCTCCGTGGGCTCTGATGTGCCCTGTTCTGGATTCTGTCGTGAGCTCATGGAAGGGACCTCAGACACCCTAGGGACAGATCTCCTGGAACTAGAGTTATACACCCCCGTGAGCTGCCATGCGGGTGCTGGGAACAAAGCCTGGGTCCTCTGCCAGAGCAGAAAGTCTCTTCAGCCCCGGATTTTGTTGCTGTTGCTGTTTTTTTGTTTGTTTGTTTGTTTCCTTATGTTTTTAGGAAATTGTCTCATAATTACCCCGTTCTCGGTAGACACCGGGCTAGATGGTACCAAAGTGGTTAAGGGAGCACACCCCTGACCACTGGGAAAGAGGATTAAACATAAGCAAATTCCCAGATCGCTGCAAGGCAGGATTAAGACAGGCTGGTACTAAGAGGGAGCCAGGGATAAGAGGGCAGGGATCCAGGGAAGATGCAGGCACTGCCTGGCCAGCTTTTTGGAAGCCGTGGCTTCCACAGGCATCCACAAGGCGTCCAGAAAGTGAGTCAGGGCGCAGAAGGGGACCAGGTCATTTGAGGGCAGGCACTCAGGGATGCAGAGCATAGCGGTGTGCTGTATAAGTGGATAGAGCGGCATAAGTGGATAGAGCGGCTAGTTTAAGACATGGCTGGCCAGGGCATTGAGTCTGCAGGAATTTAGGCAGATGGGGACCGATGGGATATGGGAGTCACTTCAGGACAGGAGAAGCAGAGTTAATGAGGTAAAAGAGAGAACTAGGGCACACTACTGAAGAGGACTCCGGCGTCTGCCCTACCCTTGTGGGATGCTACCGTGTCTTGGATATGGTTTGAGGGTGTCCCCCAAAGTTTTGTGTGATAGAAACGTGGCCCTCAGTGTAACGGGGTTGATATGGGGGATCTTTAAGAGATAGGGCCCAGGGGGAGATAACTAGGTCACTGGGACACTACCCTAGGAAGAGGCTGATGTAGTTCTGCTGGGGCCTCAGTTGCTTCCCTCATGAGTCGGTGGCTATAGACACGATGAGCCCCACAGGAACCCTCCTGCCTGTTGTTTAGCCATATTCTGTCTTACACACATCCCCACCATAGTACTAACACCACCTCCATGCTTACTGTAGCCAGGGGCATCACCCCAGGATCTTGGACTTCTCACCCCCAAAGCTATGAGAAAAGTAAACCTCTTTACTTATGCATTCCTCGGCTTTGGATGTTTTGTGATAGTAACACCGAATGGACTCAAGCAGACTGGGAAGGAGGTAAGCAAGGGACAGCAGTTTTGTGGTTAGAGCTGAGTGTTCAAAAGATGGCGAAAGCTTCACGTAGGACAGACCAGAAAAGGGCAGGCTCGAGTGGTAGCTTAGTTGGAGAAGTATTTGTCTTGTAAGCATGAAGATCTGCCTCTAATCCCCAGCACCCACATTAAAATAGCTGTGTGTGACAGCGTGCATCTGTAATCTCAGCACTGGGGAAGGTAGAGACAGGCAAGTTCCTGGGGCTCACTGGGCCACCGGCCTGACCTACATGGTGAGTTTTGGGCCATCAAGAGACCCTGTCTTGGCCGGGCG